TTTTTTTCCTTAAAGAATTATAATAAGTAGAAGAAGTTTAATACTCTAAATATTTTAATTTGATTAATAATTAATTATTTATTTTGAAAAATTAAATATTCATTGAATAATTTAAATTTTTTTTGAGGATTTATTCAAACTATATATATATTTTAATTGTTGATGTAAACCTTTTAAATTCTTTGGAGTGGAAGCTCACTTTAAAGAATGAAAGTAAAGTAAAGAATCAATAAAGTGAAGAATCAGTAGTCTTGAAGAGAGTGGCTTAATTTTCAATTTTTAAGAGAAAAAAAGATTTCACTCTTCGGAGTAACAATTTACTCTAAAAGTTTTAGAGAGAAGGGACGTGTTCAGAAAAAAATCACCCGAGTAGTCTGTGTATCATTTTTCTTTTCTAACGTTCGGTAAATAACAAGCATAAAATGATATACAGGAACACTCAAGTAGAATATTAGCTCAATGTATTACTTTAATCGAAGAAAAAATCATTGATTACAACATGAAAAGCTTTGCTTTTACTAACAACTCGTCACTATTATCTCGTTAAGGCGATGCCGGAATGGTGGTGGGCTGAAGCCAGGAGTGACTACAATCATTTGGCGACTCTTACGCGCAGAGTGGATACTTACATCTCAGGCATCGTGCTTATGTCCTTTGCTATAGACTTGTACTTCATCTGTATGCAATTGCTGTTTTCCTTCAAGTACATTTTCTATCTAACATATAATTTACAATAACAATTTTATCTTTAAATATATTATACATTGAATTTCTTAGATCCAATATAAAAAATTTCATCTATCATTCCTTTATATATATATATATGTATATATAATATATAATATTTAGATTTATTTACGACATTACTAATTTTTATTGTGCTAATATTAGTCTGAATTTTTTGTCTGAATATAAGACAGTTTTATATCAAATTTTATATCAAAACTTATATCAAAATTACGCTATAGAATTTTTAGGGAGTAGAACACACAAAGTTGAATGAATTTTTCAAAACAGTAGATCCTAAAAATTGCATAAATTTTTTAAACAGTCCAATGCGTGGTAGCATACGAAAAATCTACTTTGGTTTTTCCTTCGGTTTTCTTTTGGCGAGAACAACTGCGGTATCCCTGTACGCGGCTTCTATTCATGATGAATCCCGTCTACCAGCACCGATTTTGTATAGTGTCACTAGTTCTGGTTACAGCAATGAGGTTTGTTTTGAGAGAAATATTATTATACATATAATATAGATCGATTAATCTTCATAACTGACACGTGATAATCCGAGAGAAAAAGTTCTAAGTAAAAATTTAATATCTGTCAACATGTATCTTCTTTATGCGTTAATAATAAATTAGAAACTTTTCATTAAAGAAAATTAAGTTTCTTCTTCATAATAAAAGAACTTGTGGGGATCTAAAAGATTATATGATATCAGTTGTAAGAAAAAAAAATAATGAATGTTATTTATTTATAAGATTATTATATATTAGATTATTATATATTAATTTTTTCGATCGTTTTTTACTTATATATAAGTTTGTACAAAAAATTGTATGTAAGTTTGCACATAACGTTTAACGTTGCGCAGGTCTCAAGATTCTTAACGCAAGTAACGACAGATAATATTAGCTTGACAGGAATGAAGTTTTTTTCCATAACGAGAGGCCTTGTGTTAACCGTAAGTAATGACAATTTGAACGAATTAAATGTAGTTTAATTGTTTGACTAAAAGCGAACTTATCGCGTAAAATACGGTTATTTATTTGCATATTATTCATATTTTGTCTCTGTTACATCTTCTTTTGGAAAAAAAATATTTTGGAAATATGTATATTTATTTGCTATAATATTTTATTTAATTTAACTGAACAACGAACTATCCTTTATAATTAAGACAAGATTTAGATTAATTTTAAATAATAATTATGATTAATACACCTTGTACAACTATATGAATGATAATTGAAATGATAGGTTGCAGGAACTATCGTGACTTATGAACTCGTTCTGGTACAATTTAACTCCGTTCAACAAGCGGACCAGACGAATGTAACTGCTTGTGAGGTGAGGTAGAGAGGATTTTCGAAAAGGAAATCGATATCACTATATTGACTACAAAACGCAAAATTTTATTATAATAAATGCTATCATTAAATAAATTTGAAATTGCATTACATACATTATTGCATTTTATGGTATTTTTTTTTATTGTTCCCTTTTTTTGTAACCAATTTCCATAAATTGATCTTTTTATAAGATCTTTCTCTCTCATATTATTATAGCTTTTATATTATATTTTGTATATTTTATATAGGTAAAATAAAACCGCTGAAGTCCTCTATTTTCACATTATTTATGGTAATTTTTCTGCAATTTTATATAAGATAAGTATATGAATTGTGTTATGACATAAAATTCTTTTTTTTATAATACTTTTAGTATGACTACTTTTACTTTATTCGTAATTTCTCTTTATATGATTTTATTTCTTGGTTTACCTTTTGTTCTAGTTTTCCTTTGGATTTCATTAACTTGATATATATTCTGGAGAAAAGCGGAAAGGATATTTCACCAGTGTTGAATTTAATATTGTTACAAAATATGTATACGCACTTATAGATTTAGCTGCGGAGAACACATCGTCATCCACAGGAATGGATTAAAAGAACATACAAATATATTTTTATCTGTTGATGATGTGGCAATAATTGTGTAAATGTTGCTGTGAATGAACTAAAAAATGTTATTTAAATATAGTATTTAAGAATCTCGTACAAAGTAAAGTTTATACAACAAAAATTATATTTTTGTAGGAATAGAGTATTAGATTTTGAAAGATTTTATTAAAATTAAATACATTGAATCCTTAATTTATCTGAATGTAAATATAAAAATGATTGTACACAATACATTTATATAATTATAAAAATTTATGTAAATTATAGAAAATATTGTGTTATGAATATATATTAGGAAATATATTGAAATAATACATAACCAAAGCGACAATTCTTGACGAATTTCTGTTATAATAAATATAATATATTCTGTTATAATAAATATAATATATTCTGTTATAATAAATATTTCTTGCATAAAAATATTGTCTTACAAAATATATATTTTTGTAAAATAGTATAATTGTGAAAATAGCATTTAGTAAAAATTGCGTCGACATGAAAATGTATGGGATGGGATTTTAATTTTAATTAATTTTACTTATATTATATCTTGTATAATCTAGATTATAATATTTGCTTTTTGTTGACGTACACTATTGCATATTTATTTGTTCATTGCGACATTAAATTGTAGCAGCACAACTTCGTACGTTACAATTGCACCAGCCACCTGTACATAAATTTATAAAAATAAATGATGTTCATAAATAAAGATATTGGAATATAATAAAACACAACAATTTTTATTATTAAAAACATTAAACTATTAAATTTTCCTCCTTTTTAATGTATTAATGCAATAGTTAAATCGAGTATAACATACTTTATACTCTGTGAAATAATATAGATATCACTATCGTAAAATGATTTTGTTTCTTAAAGAAAACTGTTATATTGTATATGATATATGAAATGCTAAAGAATTTTTTATTAAATCTTGATTTGTTTTTACCGCCAACAGAAAATTTCGTGTAATAGAAAAGAAACGCATTCCAGTGAGCGTGATGTTATCAGTGCTGAGTAAATGAAGC